TGCCTTGGACTGACATGCACGGGGAGGCTTGGGTTGAGAACATCCAGACTCGCAGCTCGGATCACTCGGCTCTCTTTCTGAGTACTAATGCAATGGTACGCAGGCAAGTGGGACCGAGGGGATTCAGGTTTGAAATGGCCTGGATTCACGATGATGGTTGCAGGGAAGTGGTTGAATATGCTTGGCAGGATGGAAGGGACATGGGTTTGTTGAATTGTCAACAATATTGTGGTGGTAGGCTTATGCGGTGGGGTGGGGAACACTGGAGTAAATTTGGGGACAGCATAAAGGGGTTGAGGCGCGAGCAGGATGCATTGAGACACCGAAGGGACTCGACTTCCCTGGCTGAGTTTCGACGGCTTGAAGCCATGCTGACTCAGCTGGAGGTCCAGGAAGATGTGTTTTGGAGGCAGCGGGCCAAGCAACATTGGCTCCGTGGTACGGATGCGAACACGAAATTTTACCACAGGTATACCTCTGCTCGTAAGCGTAAAAAATATCTTTCTAGGTTAAAGAATGATGCTGGTGATTGGGTGGAGGGGGATGATATGAAGAGAGTTATTTTGGATTATTATGATGTTATTTTTGCCTCTTCTGGTTCTGTGTGTGAGGATCCCATGTTTGATGAGTTTATTCCCCGTGTAACTAATGATCAAAATAATGCTTTATTGCGTCCCTATGAGTCTGATGAGGTTAAAAGTGCATTATTTGCAATGTTCCCTGATAAGGCATCGGGGCTGGATGGTTTGAACCCGGGGTTCTATCAGCAGTTTTGGGATATAGTAGCAGGGGATGTATCTGTGTTTATCATAGACTGTTTGAATACTGGCATCTTCCCCGATGGATTGAACGATACTATTATAATTCTAATCCCCAAAAAGAATGTGCTTGAGACTGTGGCTGATATGAGGCCAATTGCTTTGAGTAATGTGTTGTATAGAATTATGGCAAAGGTAATAGCTAACAGGATGAAACCACTGATGGGGGACATTATCTCTGAATCTCAGAGTTCTTTTATTCCTGGTAGATTAATTACTGATAATATTCTTATCGCTGCGGAAGTGGGGCATTACTTGAATAGGAAGCAGTGTGGCCGGACAGGGTGGGGGGCATTAAAGTTAGACATGGCTAAGGCGTATGATAGAATGGAATGGCGATTCCTGCGGAGAATGTTGGAGGTTATGGGGTTTGATGAGAGATGGATTAATCTGATCATGCATTGTGTTACTACAGTGCAGTATAATATTATGGTTAACGCTGCTGATAGTGGCAGGTTGGTACCGTCCCGTGGTCTTAGACAGGGTGATCCGCTTTCCCCGTATTTATTCATTATTTGCGCAGAAGGTTTGTTTTTGTTATTACAGAAGGCTCAGATAACTGGCTCTATATATGGGTATAGGGTGGCGCGGGGTGCCCCCCGATTTCACATTTGTTTTTTGCAGATGACAGCCTATTGCTCTTTAAGGCAAACAATCTGGAGGCAACTGTGGTTAAGGAGTGCCTACAACGATATGAGGAGTTGTCGGTGCAAAAGGTTAACTATCATAAATCCAGTATCTGTTTTAGTAAGAACACCAGGGAGGAGGACATGGATGTAGTGGCTGCGTGTTTGCAGGTGGATCAGGCACCCAATTTTGGGAAATATTTGGGACTGCCCTCTTTTATTGGGAGGAATAAGAGAATGGTGTTCTCCTATATTGAGGATAGAATAAAACAAAGAATTGGCTCGTGGAATAAGAAGTTGTTGTCACAGGTAGGTAAGGAGATACTATTAAAGAGTGTGGCGCAGTCAATGCCGACCTTTTCAATAGGTGTTTTCTTACTACCTGACACGGTCTGTTTATCAATTCAGAGGACTATGAACAGATATTGGTGGGGAAATGGAGGAGAGAGGGGAATTCACTGGAAAGCCTGGATAAATTATGTATCCCTAAGAAGTATGGTGGTCTGGGATTTAAGGATCTCAGGAACTTTAATTTGGCAATGTTAGGGAAGCAAGCATGGCGCTTCCTTACAAAACTCACCTCCCTAGTTGCATCGATTTATAAAGCCCGATATTATCCTGCTGCCTCATTTATTGATGCTAATTAAAGTGGGAAGTAGTCCAAGTTATGCTTGGAGGAGTATTATGGCTGCTCATGATATGGTTGTTGCAGGAGTACGTAGACGGATTGGGGATGGTCAAACAACATTAATTTGGGGATATCCGTGGTTAACAGATGATCCTAGCCCTCTCATTCAGACTGATATGCCTGAGGAGTTGAGACATGCGAAAGTGGCAGGCTTAATTGATGAGTAAACTAATATGTGGGATCCCTATATATTGTCTGATTTATTCATTCCTGAGGATGTCAATCGTATACTCAGGATCCCTGTAAGCCCTGGTTATGATGACTCATGGTATTGGCTTGGGGACCCAAATGGAATTTATTCAGTGAAGAATGCCTACAGGAGTATTATGGGAATTATGAGCATATGCCAGGAGTGTTTGATAAATGGACTAGTATATGGAAAATGAAGGTGCCACCAAAGTGGAGGACTTTCCTGTGGAGAGCAATTTGTAATATCCTCCCTACCACTACTAATTTAATTATTAAAAGGGTGGATATTGATCCTATATGCCAGAAGTGTGGTGTAATGAATGAGGATGTTATGTATGCACTTATTACTTGTGATTATTCTAAATTAGTTTGGAATATTACAGGCCTACCTATCACAAATATTATTACCGATTCTTTTCCTGCCTGGCTAACAGCCGCGCTTGCAATTTTGACAGAAGAACAAAGTGGTACTATGGCGGCGGTTCTTTATCACTTGTGGCAGAGTCGCAACTCAGCCGTATGGGAGAAATCATTGCCTCGACCCGCCGGCCTGTGGAGGAGAGCGTCCGCGGCAATGGGGTCATACCGCCACGCCAATCATCACCCAGCGCTGCCGGCACCACACAGACCGGAGCATGCCCATCACGCCAGGCCAAGGTGTTTTGTCGACGCAAGCTTCCATCATGCTACGGGGGAGGCGTCCTATGGAGTGGTCCTAATCTCGCCGGATGGATCGTTCGTAGCGGCGCGAAACGGAACTCTACCAACTTGCTTCTCACCCTTTATGGCGGAGGCCATGGCTTGTAAGGAGGCTCTATCATGGCTCATCGAAAGGAATACGGTTGATGTGGATCTACTCACAGATTGTTTGCAATTACGGAATGTTTTACGCCAGGGGTCAACATCTATTATGTCATATGCTGGACTTGGAGTCGACCATTGTAGGTCGCTGATGACTTCATTTACTTATTGTTCGCTAAGTTATGTTTCTAGGCAGTTTAATTTACATGCACATGCTTGCTTCGTTAGCTTTTACTCAGGATCAGGTTATGACATGGGATTTAATCCCACCTGACATTATTGCAGCTTTGCTTCATTAATACAATCATTTATTGATTGGCTTTCAAAAAAAAAAAAAAAACAACATTTCAATGATTTTCTTGAAGGAGGACCAAAAATGGTCATGACATAATAATACTAGGACCAATGGGGATGCTGTGATAAAAAAAATGACTAAAAATGAATTGTCACCTATAAATTTAAGACAAAAAATTGAATTAACTCTTGGTTAATAGTTAATTTTGTTTTCTCATTCTTTGCTTTTTCATAAATTTTAGATTTAAAGGTTAAAGTTTGTGTTGTTCCATCTTCATAAGTATCCATTTGATCATATGTTTTTGAGTTTTCGGATATCTTGTCTTTTACTTTATCCATATATAAATTAATTTGTCAGTTTGAAAGTACCATTCTCCCCCCCCCCCCCCCCCCTATGAAGTTTTCAAGCTCCATCATTGAGTACATTCCAATTTTGATAACATAACTAACTTATATTTATCAAATGAGTGTGTGATCCCTGTACCATTAACACTTCAAATTTTGTAGTCCATTCACATTGAGGGTGCCAATTCCCTTCACTAGTTTTGAGATTCCTTAGATTCCTCATGTCTAATGTTATATGTATAGAACATCCCCTATCAAATACCACTTAGCTTCAGTTGCTCCAGTGTTAAAAAGAAATTATACCAAAACAGATAATATCACTCTTTCTAATTCAAATTTGTTTCTTAAAGGATGTAATAAACCTTTTTGAAATTTTTCTTATCGTTGATCATAGTAAAAGTAATAACATTCTAGATGGAAGTGTCTTCTCTTATGGCGAGGGCAAATTATTGTGTGCACCATGGTCCATATAGTTGTGTAAACCATGAATACAAAGTACATTTTTAATATATTAAAAGTACATTATTTTTGTATGGAATGTACATTATTTAATAATATATAAAACAATGTATTTTTAGTACTTTCAAATAATGTACTTTCAAATAATGTACTTTATATACATAAATAATGTAATTTTAATATATTAAAAATGTACTTTTTTATGGTCCACATAATTGTATGGACCATGGTCCGTGGAATAATGTTTGGCAATGCCAATAGTGATATATCGAAACATAAGGCTTAAAGAACTTCAATTCCTTTGAAGACATTGTCCACCAGTAGTAAGTCTTTGTACTAAGGGTATGTTTGGTTGACCGGTTTAGCTTTAAAGAATGATATCAAAGTGATTGATAGTGTTTGGTTGATAGGTTTTTAAAACACTACTATGGATTTCAAATACCCCCTTAATTGAAAACCGCATACTCAAATAAAATAAGGGTATCATTCCCTTATTCCTCTCATCCCATTTGATTAGTGCTTCTAGATTTTTGTTTTTATTTTTTTGTTCATATTGGTGTTTTGGATGCATTTATGTTAAAATCAATTCAATTATTGTCTTGATTTTGTGTTTTTGTATTTTTAAAATCTTTATTCTCTTTATAGGATCATACATAACCAAACAACATTATTGATAATCATTCTCATTCCACCCTACTACCAAACATGTGTAAAAAATACTTTCACTAAAAACTCATTACCATTAACAAGTATTTAGTATCCATTTCCGATTCCCATAAATTCATACAATGAATTGAATACATTTTCTTGTGCTCCTAAATGAATGTAAAGAAACTCGCTTAAATTGCTTTTTAGTCGTCAATGTTCATGCTGATGTTGAATGATGGACTTGAACTGGAACGTAAGAGCAATGTAGGAGATATTACTGGAGAAATACCCTCTGATGATTCTGATTGTGATTGTGAAGAAGAATATAAGAAAGGCTTTGGTGGTATTTCCAACTTCTCCAAACTACCAATCAACATTTCAATAACCTTGTTCATTGATGGCCTATCTGATGGGTCTGTTTGAATGCACCAAAACCCTATTAGTATCATTTTCTTTGCAATCTCTTCTTCCTCTTCTGTTCTAACCCCTTGAAGTTTTAAATCTTCGTCTACCAAAAGTCTTTGATACGCCCAATGGGGAAAATTTATCTCAGAACTGCGGCTCACGTTATCGTTCACATTCTTTCGTCCGCCAACCATTTCTAAAATCATCATTCCGTAGCTATACACGTCTGACTTGTGTGAAACGCTTCCAAAATTTCGACTGACAACTTCTGGAGCAATATAGCCGATAGTCCCCCTAACTCCAAGCATAGATACATTGCTCTCCTTGTTAGTGCAGAGTTTAGCCAATCCAAAATCAGATATTTTGGGACAAAAGTCTTGGTCAAGGAGAATGTTGTGCGGTTTTATATCGAAATGTAGGATTCTTGTGTTGCAGCCTTTGTGCAAGTACTCAAGCCCTCGAGCTATGCCAATCGCAATTTCATACAATTTGTCCCATCTCAAGTGAGTGTTATCACCGTGAATATATCTTTCAAGGGATCCATTAGGCATAAATTCATACACTAGAGCTCTTTTAATACCATGGTAACAGAACCCTAGAAGATTGACAACATTAACATGGGAGGTTTGACCAATGCTGACTACCTCATTGATGAATTCTTCTCCATCCCCTTTGGTTGAGTTTAGGATCTTAACTGCAACAAGACGGTCATCATAGAGCTTGCCTTTATACACTTCTCCATAGCCTCCTTGCCCAAGTTTGTGTTTGAATGAACTTGTCATTTTCTTAATATCTGAATAACGATAAATTGTTGGGGCTAATGATCTATATTGCTCCATAAACACCTCAAGGTTCCTTCTCTGCAGTGATTTTTTAAATATTCCTAAAAAACAAAGATATACATAAATTTTATGGAGGATACAAATAAATGTATGAACAAATGTAGATTATTTATATTTTTTATTCGTTAACGGATAAAAGTAAACAAAAAAAAAAAATTAGCTTTACAAAAATGCTACATCATGAGTGGTGAAAATATATAATAGTCATACATTACATGAAAAAATCTTAGTTGCAACGAACAAAAGTATATTGCAAAGTGTCAAAATTCCACATTTTGCAACGAAATTTGCAATGGAATGCATTCCGTTGATAAAAACGCTCGTTGCAATTCCATTGCAATGGACGTTACGTTTCCGTTACAAATGTCATTGCAATGTTTGCAACGAGTTTATCTTGCCTACTCTGTTAATGGTAGGAGTGGACCATTTTTCTTATTAAAAAGTGTCACAAGATTAGGTTTTAACCGTATAAAATCCATATAAATAATAAAAATAATATATTGGTAAGGGGATAATTCACTACTGGAAATTATGAAATTTCCGACCACCTGAAAGTGAATTTAAATCAAATTGATACCAAAAAGTGGTCGGAAATAGCAATAAAGGTTTTTCCCGATACCAAAAGTAGTCGGAACAAGACTTTTGACTTGATTTAAGATCACTTTCGAGTGGTCGAAAATTTCAGAATTTCCAGTAGTGATTAATATACCTCCATTACAGATAGTGCAATTCCCTGAGCCCTGACAATGAAGTTCATTCCCAGAAGGATAGCGTCTCTCTCGTCGATGATATGCAAACAAAATTGTGCAAATTACCGTTAAGCATAACGCAGCTCCCCCGATGCCTGCGAAAAGGCTTACATTAAAATTGGAAGAAAATTGAATTCTTCATCTTTAAAATAATTTGTATATACATTTTTTTAATTAATAATTAATTACCAATGCCAAGCTTCACTCTCACTTTATTTTTTTTGCCTGTAAGAAGATAAATAAATAAAAGCCAAAACAAATTATTAAACATTGCTATATATATATATATATATATATATATATATATATATATATATATAAACACTCACAAATTTTAGTATATTTGATGGTACCCGGGTAACCCATTTTATTAGAAAAGCTTTGGTCTAACAAGTGTCCATTTTTATTGCTAAAAAAGAAAGAAGTATAGAGCAAAATAAGTGTAGGTGTAGCTAAAAGGGTTTAAACCATCAACCTCCCACTGAACAACACAATTAATCCACTTAGCTACACCAATCCTTGTGTATTGGAACGCAAGAAGCTCCAATTATGCATGAGAAGTGTACATTTTTAACCCATTAACAATTAACTTAAAACCAATAAGTTTAATAGTTTGAACACACTGACTCAAAATGGAGTGAATTGGCCAAATTGATATCTCTAACATTAAACTAAGTCAATGAATACTGTTGTCATGTGTTTCATGCATGGACTTTGAAATTGATTCTTCATTCCATCACTTTGCAAACGTAGAGTGGGGGATTGAAAAAGTCAGAAAGATATGGATCTTTCCAAAAAAGTTATTTTTTAGTTAATGTTTAAACTAAGTCAATGAATACTGTTGTGTTTGTACTGTTGTCGTCAGTTTTGGAAATTGAACCTGAGTTATTTCAAAATTCTTTTTCACAAAAAAAAATTCATTTGCCACAACGCCATGTACTTGAGCTGCCACAATGAGTTATATAGCCTTAGTTATATTATAACAAAACTATAATTACATTTATACTATAAATTTCTTTTTTTAAATACTGCTATAAAGTATTATATATAATAACTTAAAATACTAATCAACTAATTTTACTATGAAATGAAAATTTATTTACTGTAAATTGTGAATTATAGTTTTGTTATAAAGTACTATATTTATGCTATAAAATATTTTACATAAGATTTAAAGTATTGATGATAGCTACAACTCCATTATGTTATTAATTTATCCTTTGTAAAATATGTATTACATTATGTTATAAAGTTTTATAAAAAGGCTTAAAATATTAATGATATCTTCAATTATGTTAGCCCTGTTTAGTAAAATAGTTAGCTTATCAGTCAATTTTGACTTATTTGATCACTGTTAATTGTTTGATTTGGTTAAAAAATCAATATAAGTGTTTGGTTAATTAGCTTTTTGTAATTTCAAAATGTTAAAATTCAAAAAATTGCCCAAAACAACTCTTTCAATTAGCTTTTTGAGAAAAAAAAATTATACCAAACAGCTATCAGCTAACAACTAATTTATCAAACACCTTTCTACAATCAGCTAATGCTATAAAATAGTTATACCGTCTAATTAACTCAATTAGCTAACAGCTAACAACCATTTATCAAACAAGGTTGTTATGTTATTACATTATTTCCTGCAAATTGTCTATTAAAATTTTAATATAAAGTACTACATTTATGATATAAAGTATTATATATAAGACTTAAAATATTAATTATATTTGCAATTCGATCTCCTATGTTATTACTTTATATTTATTTCTTGAAATACCAAAACTGGAAATTTTATAAATAATAAAGATAATAAAATTTTAAAATACACATATACTAAGTAAAATTTTAATAGAGTTTAATATTTTTGTTACTCTAGAAGTTAGAATTGCAAGTTTTTTTGAAGAGTAATGGAGGTATATTACAACTGTAAAAAAATTAGGAACTAAAATAACTAATAAAAAATAATTGAGTGACTAAATATTTATTTTCTTCTTAATTTTAAATACCTTAACCCTGAAAAATAAAAATAACTCAAAGAATACTTTAAAAAAAAAAAAGTTAATTCCATTTTTCGTCTCATATTTATAGGTGATAGTTCACTTTTAATTTTTTTTTTCAAAGCATTCTCATTTGATCCTAGTATTATTGTAGCATGACCACTTTTTATCTTTCATTAACAAAACATGTTAAATTCCTTAAAATATAAGAGCACTTAGGTCTTCAATTATGATTTTTTATATAAAAAAAAAATTTAAATATAGCAAGTCAATCTACTTTGTATATAAAAAATCGAAATATCTTTGTATTTAATGATATTCTAATAATTTTGTTTTTATTTTGGTAAAAATTCTAATAATTTTATTGACGAAGGATAAAAAATAATAATGTCACAATAATACTAAAATTAGTAGGATCAAATGAGATGTTATGAAAAACACTAGTAAATTTTCACTTGTAAATCTATGACAAAAAATGAAATTAATATTAGGGGTGAAATAAATAAATTATACCTTGGAAAAGGCGGCAGTAATCCTGGGTGACGCTCCCGCTGCCGCAAAAGCACAAGAACTCGCCGGAAACTTCGTTCTGACCGCACAACCCCTTGGAGTTTTCACAGAGGCTGCACTCCTCCAAGTTCCGCCAGTTAAGCACGAACCCATTATTCATAGCTCCGCCGACATTCCTAACCCACCACCCTTCATCATCCACAATTTCCCCTGTTTTCATCACCGCCGTCTCCACTTCCTCCTCGCAGCTTCGGAACCAGTCCGAACGGTACCGGCCGGCCGCCGCCGCCCCGACATGCAAGTAGGACGTGAAATGCTCCGAACTTAAACAGTCTATCGGATAGGCATCTGTTGAGATTGACAAGTAATATATTTATTGATATTGGGTCCAACCCAATTCGCCCTGTTCCTATTTCTCAAAGACTCATATTGAACAAATACTAATTTTTGTCCCACGAGTATTAGCAAAATGATAGTTTTGATTAATATGTTTAGTTTTTATCAATTTTCATCCATGACTATTGTTTTAATACCAATTTTTGTTCACGCCTATTATTTTAGTGTCAAAATTCATCACGTTGGTTACCTCTTCGTTTAAGACATGCTGAAATATGAAATTATTAAGGGTATTTTCATCATTTACAAATTAATATCTCAATTTGAGCGTAAATAAAAGAATTTAAACTCTAAGATCGATTTCAATTCACAGTTATCTTTCTCAAATGAAGATAGGATGAGGAAGAGAACTGCGAATTGGGATCGATCTTGGGGCTTAAATCCCTTTATTAATGCTCAAATTAGGATCTTAAGTTGGAAAATGATGAAAATACTCTTAAAAATTTAGATTTCGGCATGTCTAAAAAGGAGGAGTGACTGATGTGATGAATTTTGGCACTAAAACAATAATTTATGATGAAAATTGGTATAAAAACAATAGTTATGGATAAAAATTGGTAAAAATTAAATATATGAATCAAAACTGTCATTTTGCTAATACTCGTAGGACAAAAATTGGTATTTGCTCGACTCATATTAGTTATGAGACAAATTTTTAATAGACAAACTCACCGGCAAAATGATTTGTGCAGTTGAGGTAGAAAGTGAGGTTCACGTCTCCTGTGCTGTAAACCAACGGCGATCTTTCGGGGAAAGTAATGTTGTGGTGCGTGATGGGACAGTCTTTGTTGGTGGTGACGTCAGCGTCCACGAGGACAATTAAAGAATCTGTGTAGTTAATGTTGTTGACGAGAAAAGTGTGGTTAGATAGGTAGAGAAGAGGGTAGTTAGGATCTGGGTTGGAACAGTTAATTCCGAAACCAGGATATCCACACATTTGGGGGTTTGGCGCGGTTGGTGAAGTGTCGTCTAGCCTCCAGAACGGATATGAAACGTGGATTGTTCCATTCTTGCAGGTTGATGAAGGGCAGTACAGTTCTGCAGCTCTTGAAACATCCTCGTCTGCGTTTGATTTGATTGAGAAAAACAGAAATAGAATGAAGATTATGGATTGAGGCATTGATGACAGAGGTGTGTGTGCAACTTCGGATGATCCCCAGGATTAGTTATATATTTATATATATACACACACACCAGATCAATGATTTTCATCAGACAAAATAGGAAAAAGGGTCAAATAAACTTTACTTAAGAAGTTAATTAAACCCTTAAATTTTTTAAAAGTTACAATTAAACACAAAAATATGTAATTTTGAAACATTGAAACCTAGACTCCGGTTGGTGACCTGTAATTACATGTCACTAGAATTGCGGCGAGCCTCCGACAATATTTTCGACGACGAAACTGTCGCCGATGGGTCACCTTCTCCGGTGACTGGAGAAGGCAGACCAAACTGGTTGCTTTCACCGGTCACCAGAAGGCGACCAAACTGGTTGCTTTCTCCAACGAAGGAGAAGGCGACACACCGACGACCATTTCGCTAGTGTTTGTTGTCGAAAATATTGTCGAGAAACCGTAGTGATCTGTAATTACAGGTCACCAACCGATTTCTGGGTTTCAATGCTCCAAAATTATATGTTTATAGATTTAATTGCAACTTTAAAAAATTTAAGAGTCTAATTAACTTTTTGAGTAAAAATTCAAAGACCTATTTGACCATTTTCCAAAAAAATATTACTCCATCTTTCAATTTTATTTGTCATACTCACTAGTCATTGGTCAAACAAACTTTTTTCTTCTTTGTTTATTTTCAATAAGATTTTTATTTATTTTTAAATTTAATTTTTTGTGTTTAATAGTACTTTTAGTGTAATTTCTAAATATATAAATTTTGTATACTAATACTAAATTAAATATTATAAAAAATTAAATTAAAAATAATAACTTCAGTTAAACCTCGTTAACCGAACCAAACACATAAAATGAGACGGAAGAGTAGAAATTAAGCAGTAATTTATTAAAACCATTGAATTTGGAATATGGTAAAGTAGCTCCCGGGTGGGGAACGACTCCTTTGATGGGTGTGGCAATGAGACTATTCGCAATATTTCTATCTATTATTTTGGAGATTTATAATTCTTCCGTTTTATTGGATGGAATTTCCATGAATTAAATCTATAAGAATCACAAAGTCCTTGCTTTTGAATCCAAAAAGGATCATTTTGAGCTCGGATTTTTAACTCATTCTATTTTTTTTGGCCCTCGCGCAATTTCTTTGTTTCTGTATTTCCGGAATATGAGTGTGTGACTTGTTCTAATTGATCCTATTAATAGTACAAAGAATGACTTGTTCTAATTGATCCTATTGATAGTACAGAGAATTGGGTTGTATCTTGATAAAGATGATTCTACTTCGTCAGATATTTCTTCTAGTCTCTGAAACACGAAATATATTAAGAAATATTTTAACTATGATGACCCTTCAAAGGGTTCACAAGAATCATAATTATTTTGCTTTTGATCAAGTGGAAACTGGAGGAGTCAACACGGTAGAATATTCTACACAAGCATCTGAGACAAAGTAGTATAACTTTTCTGCTTTGACGGGATGCTCAGCTGCGTTTATTCTGTCCATAGTGCACATCAGATGACTAGACTTAAAAACACTTAGAAAATACAGGATGAAACAATATCCCCTAAAAGTCCTACTGGAGCTAAGCTCTCTAAGAATGATAAATCTTTTTTTAACAAAAGGCTGGAAAAATAAAGAATGAAAGAATGAACATTTGATCCTTTGGGGAGTTCAAAGGACGGAACTGAAGTTCTCAATGGGATCCGACTCCTCGAGCATCGAAGCTGCCTGGAAACAGTCGGCAGCATCGGCTATCCGGCCATCATTCCGGTGAACGCAACCCATGAAGTGCCAAGCCATACGATTAGTAGGGTCGAGTCTCAGTGCGTCCGAGAGTAATGTTCTCGCTACTGGCTGCATCTTCGGGCCCATCTTATTCACCAAAGTGCAAAGCAGGATCTTGCAAGGCACATAATTTGGTTCTAATAAAAGAGCGTTGACGTATGCAGCCATTGCTTTGCCGAATTCTCCCCGCCTTTCGTGCATTACACCTGCCATAAGTCCAAAGAAAAATAAAAAGGGAAAGAGAACAATATTAGGTTCCTCTTCATATGCAATTAATTTTGTTGTTTCTTTACACTTCGGTTTTTACTTCTTTTGAAGAGATGCTGAATAAGATGCCAACATCCATTTAAACGATTGTCCTTTCATTATAATGTTCAACATGCACTATGTATGTTGACATCTACTAAGCAGGACTATGTATCAGCAGTTTGTTAAGTAAACAAATAAAATACCTAATTTAGTCCTAGACTATAGTAGTTTTTCTCGATTTAGTCATAAACTACTTTTTGTGCTTAATTAGATCCTCAACTTCAATGTTTTTTAAACCAATTGAGTCCTCGGCTGTTAGAATCAAAGACTAAATCGAAAAAACCCACTCACTATAGTCGAGGACTAAATTGGGTAAATTCACTATAGTCAAAGACTAATTTGGGTAAAACTATTATAGTCAATGACTAAATTGGATATTAAAAGAGGTGAAATTACAAAGCTATCTTAACAGAGGACTCAATTGGGTAAATCTATCAAAGTCGAGGACCTAATTAAGCACAAAAAGTCATTTAGGACTAAATCGGGAAAAACCACTAGTCCAGGACTAAATTGGATATTAACCTTTCTTTAGTTATTGCTTAAAATAGTCAGAATTTTTCTAGTAAATACACAATAGTCTTGCCTTCTATGTGCAGAGTGTCTGGCGAATACTCAACAAGAGCTCTAGCTTTTCCCAAGCATATCTCTGCATCCTGCCAGCGTGAGAGGCTAGAGTATAGATTTGCCAGACCATGCCAAACCTCGTATTCATTCACCTTAGCATCCTCGAACTGTAGCTGTTGAGAAGCAAGAAAATGCAATAATTGGAAAAGGCTAGAGAATTTATTGTTTATTCTGTCATAAAGGTAGAGATTCTAAAACAATTAAAGAGGGAAATGCGTAAAATACGCAAGGCATCCCAATTTGTAAGTAAATATAGAGAGAAACTGAGGAAAGAGAACCTAAAAATAGACGTCAATCAGCACAAGGGATCTTACCAGAGGTGCACTTCGTAGAGGAGGTCCATAAGACTTCTTTTGTGCTTGGACTAGTGCGAGAAGTGAACGGTAAGTTTCAATGGCATTTGTATGCTGTGACTGAGATGTTTTCAGCTTCGCTTTCAATCTGAGCAGTGGTCCTTGATCCCATTTCGCAGTCTCATCTAAAGCGGCGTCAGTCACCACTTCAGCCTCGGAAAACCGTTGTTGTGCAGAAAGAACCAAAGCAAGAAATCTCCAACCTTTTATTACAGATCCTCCCGTTGCATCGAGATACAGCTTTGCATAGCGCAAAGCAGCATTCAGATTGCGGTGCTCTGCGTATTGAACTCCAAGCTCAAATATTAGATCCGTATTTTCCTGTTCTACGGCTATTGCAGCTTCTAATGATTTGAGAGCTTCAGACTGAAGACGAGATCTCTCAGAATCCGACGGAGAAATTTTGGCTTGATTCCCCAAGCAACGGCCTAACATGCAAAGACCAATACCTTTTAGATGCGCATTTGAGCCTTGAGCATTAACTACAGCCCTCTGTGCATATTTCACACCCTCGTAAGCAATAAGTACGTCCTCACTACAAAGTTTAGCAGCCAACAATAATGACATGATATCATCAGGGTCTTCATTTTGAAGTAGTGATTTCCTCAATAGATTTAAAGCAGTTGAGCTTTGGCCTGCTCCACTATAGCAAAGTCCCAAAACTTTCCACCGTTCAATACGATTAAGGATTCCAGGCATGATTTCTTCAAGTTGCTTTGCCAAAACACCAGTTTGGCAGCATACAGATAGAGCGAAAGTAAGGTGTTCTAATACTGAAGGATCCCAAGTTGCCTTACCAAGGTAAAATTTTCTCATGAGGATCATCAAAAGCAGAATTGCCTCTTCCAGATTGTTTCGAGGTACATAAGAACCATCAATTTGAACAAATAAACTGGGTGGACCAGCCTCAACTCCACTGTATAGCAAAAACACAGCAAATGCTTTCTGAATTCTCGCACAACATTCATTATCAAGACTCCATTGACTTAAGAGCGCACGTCTATAAGCAGACATTGCCTCAGAGTAGTTACCAGCTTGTTTCCATACCTCTGGAAGGAGCTCAACAGCATGACTTACTGTTTCTTGCAGCTTATTCTCTACTGACATGTCAGGTAAACCATTAAGGAATATTTTCTCCACAGCGTCCAGTATGCTTTGACACTCATTAGCAGCCTCTACAAAATCCCAGCCAAAGAAAGTTCTGTAAATAATAAAATCAGAAATATAAATAAATAAAGTCCTACACCAAATTCTAGGAACAATGCAGAACAAGGGTACAGAAACTATGGGGAGAGGGCTAAATAGTTCATGTGGTCTATGATTTTTTGTTTTTCCTGTACTATCTCATGGGGATTTTTCAGATAAGCCACAGAAATTGCTGTCTACCAGTTAATTTTCCAAGCTTTTGGAGAGACTTGGCCTTCAAATATATGGCCTCAAGCAACAGACTTGCAGCATGCTGTGGAACAACTGATCCTGAATCACTCCGCGTCTTTCCCTTTTTAACAGGTGGTTTCTCGGTCGTAGAAGGTTGCATTCGCTGTACAGCAGCATGAAGATCAATACCATCAAACACACGGAGCGCACCTTCCACATTTCCCCTTTGATACTCCAGCCTTCCAAGAAGAGCTCGTGCTTCCTACAATCAAATCAAGAAGCCTTCAGTCCCAGCAGAAGTTCTCTTAAGAGCATACAATAATTTCAGTCAATTGAAAGGATCATTCCTCCTCCCCTCCACGGCTCCACCCAACCCAAACTTCAAAACCAATGACATACAAGTACATTGATGTCAGGAAGATTTCAAGGTTATGATGCTGATTGCATTTAATAGAAACAATTAAAAAGCATAGTATTTTAGCAACTACTGAGAAAAAGGCAAAGGTTTTAGACTCAGCAATTTGTCTCCTCTTCCCTTCACTTTTTCTTCAGGATGCCATTTAATCAGTTAGCATAAGCACCTCCCCCGCAAAATAATGTCAGTAAGGCACACCTCCAAGGTACACTGACAAATACACATTTGATATAATTTGAGAGACAATCTAAGCAACCTACTTTCGAGGTAGAAATTTCTTAATTTATTTAACGGACCTATAAACAACAACTTAAGAATAATAAAGATCCAACTCTAAAGGGAGAAAAAAAAAAATTACAATGGATGGTTTCCAATCCATAGCTCCAGTTTATAATTTATTTTGTAATTGCACTGATATGTGCACAGCTAGACATAGTTAGCTTACAAACAGACAATGACAGCATAAGATCAAGTAGTGTGCATCTAATCTTATGAAATTCCATTATGCAATTAGTAATGATCTAAAACGAATCAAACAGTCAACTACTATGTAGTGTGATGACACCTCTGTTACCATTCCAAATGAGTGGTGGGGGCATTGATTCTTTGGACCGAAAAAGATTGAGAAAGTATAGAATCACGATCACGAGTGTTAAAAAAAAATAAAAATCAAACAAGTAATCTATTTAATGTACCATCACATTGTAATCAGTCATTTCAATCTTGCAATCAAACTTACATTCCTTAATGAATCTGAAAAAAATAAAAAACAATGGGCAGATAACATTGGCAATCCAAACCTCAAAATTCAGAGATAATCCATCGCGCAAGGCAGATTCAGCCTCCTGAATGTTACCCTCGTCAAGCTTTGCTTCAACATCACTTGTCTGCATGCAAACCCCATTCGCCCAAAATTCCCGAACCGACGGCTCATTCTCATTCTGTTCTAAATCGCCCGATTCACTGTCCGACATATCTGCCCTACCTCCTGTGCTCACTAGGGCAAACACAAATATCAAATCCCTCCCCTTCATAATCACAATAATTAAAACAAAACAAGTTCTAATCCTATATACATCTGCATAAAAGCGTAAAAATATACGACAAAAAAATCCATTTCCATTCCTGATCGTCGCATATACGCACAATCAACAGTGCATTCCAAAACAATTGGAGGACAATAAAAAACGAATTTTATTGAATGAACATTCATATTTGACAGCTGAGAGCAAATTCAAAGGGAACCGACGCTAGAAAAAAACATAAACTTCGCATCCGCAACAAATTAAAGCTTCTGCAAATATTTAGAGAAAGTGGAGATCTTTGTACCTTGAAACGCAGTGGTTTGCAATGGAAAAGAGAGAAAAGAAATGCTTTTGTACGAATCTCAAACCAAAGTGTTGAAGAACTTCTGGATCAGTGGAGGAGGAGAGGAAGGAGGTGGTTTCCTTCTTCTTTTCTTTTTCTTTTCCTTTGTTGGGATTTTGACTTTTTGGCTCGAATTTTTAAAGGAGAGAAAAAATAGTACAGTCGAGGTTTTATATTGCTCCGTTATGGAATTTTCTACAGCTGAAAACATGGTTTGGTAATTACGAGTGTTTCACGGTGGTTTTCTTTAGTCCATTCGTATTTAGTGGAGTAGTAATTTTTTTTGAAAGTAAATTCAGTATTAGTATACAAAATTTATATATTTTAAAATTATATTAAAATTACAATTAAACATAAAAAAGTTTAAAAATAATTAAAAATTTATTTATATTGTCAAGCACCTTGCGTTTAGATACATTTCTGTGACTCTGCTTGAGGGAAGGTTAAAAGATCGAATCTTAGTGATGTGGTGTTGACTTTTTGAACTGTATTAGTCAAATGTTGCAAAACACGTTAGGCGTCGATTTTTTATTTTTTATTTTTTAAAAAATGAAAAAAATTAACTAAAAATTGTAAAATTTACTAAGGTTCCTTTAGTTTTTTTTTTTTTTTACAAATTATTTACGTAAGTAGTTGTAAAATCGTTCAAAAGATTGTTGAAATCATCTAAATACATAAAAAAAAAAATTAAGAGCAAGAAAATTATTTTTTGGAGAAATTAGAGGGTCAAACCGCCTTTGGCCGTTTGCGGTTGATAGATCTAAAAAAAATACGCGATTTCAACAAAAAATTATCCAAAACGAATAACCGAGTCAAAAGTTATGCCTTCCCGAACTTTTCACACTTTACAACGCAATAATAATAATAATAATAATAATAATAAATAAATAAAATTAAACACCGGTTCAAACGGCTAGGCGGTCTAGGCAGCCCGCCTAGCCGGTCGGTCGCGGAGGAGGCTGATTCCGGCCTTCCTCGCGACAATCGGTGGGCGCTTAGGCACAATTTTTGCAACACTGGTATTAGTTATAGAAAGTATAGAACATATACTATCTTGTAATAGAGTCAATAATACTTAAAAAAATACTTACAAAACAAGTAAAAAAGAAATAATTTGTTTGACCAATTAATAATAAACATGAAAGGTAAAAACAGTAAAATGGGACAAAGGGGTATCATATAACTTTAAATGAGATTCAAATCTATAATTAAGAATTTTAATTTTAAAATTTGATCGCTTTTAATTTATCGAGTAATTGTTTCAAGTAACCTTATCGGCACTCGTGCTTTTCACTTTAATTATGTTACGGAGTACTTTATCTGTTCAATTAATTAAACTTATTACGCCAGTAAAATGTGTCCTTCTAACAACTACTCACTTTATATAGTTCAGCCTCAATTCACTTCATGCAACATTCCTACCTGTCACATGCCCCACACACACATGCATATGTTATGATTAGTAGTTTTCATTATTTAAGATTTTTTTTTTTTGGGGTTCTCTTTTGACCAATGTAATAAGGTGAATACAAGTTTTAAAAAAAGAGACCTTCCTTTAATCTGATTTGACAGCACTTGATTAAAAAATGACTGTTATTTTTTTTTTTTTAAAATATTACTCCTTATTAATTTCTTGTAACAAATACTTCCTTAGTTTTACTTACTATTCATTGGTCAAATCAACTCTTTTTTTTTGTTTATTTTTTTCAGTATTTTTGACTTATTTTTAAATTTATTTATTTATTTTTTTTTTGTGTTTAATAGTACTTTTAAAGTAATTTCTAAATATATAAATTTTGTATACTAATAATTTAATACTAAACTTAATATTATAAAAATTTAGATTAAAAATAATTTCAGTCAAGCCTCGTTAATCGAACCAGACACATAAAATAGGACAGAGAGAAATAATCTAATATATATGTCACAAGTGTCACAATTCTTCATTTCATTTGAATAAATAATAATAAAAGATATAATAAACAATTGGATATGTACAACATTATTTACTGTCTTCTCAATCAACATTTGAGAATTCAGGTAAAATATCTTATATCTAAGGGTATATTCAATCAATTTTGTAAACTTTTAAATGATATGATTTTATAACTTTTAAATAATTTTTAAATAATAAACCTTTTTTAGTCCATTCATCTTATTTTATATGTCTAGTTTGATTAATGGGGATTGGTTAAAGTAAAATTCAAGTAAAATATCATTAGGGTTATTTTATCAAGATTTATGTAAACTTTTAAAATGATAGGATTTTATAAATTAAAAATTAAAGGACTTTTAAAGAATTATTCTTTTTATTCTAATCGTCTCATTTTATATGTCTAGTTTGATTAATGAGGCTTGATTGAAGTTGGTTATAATTTAATTTTTTTTTTGTAATATTTAATTTAGTGTTAGTACATACAATTTATATATATATTTAGAAACTACATAAAAATAATATTAAACAGAATGTCAATTTTGAAAATTAATTAAAAAAATGTTAAAGAAAATAACGAAAGAAATAAGAGTTCAGTTGACTAATAAATAATAAACAAGATTGGTAGTATAAGACATATGGTATATTTTTATAGATTTTACATAAATTTATAAAAATCTTATCTTACAAATATTTATATATTTTGTATAGATTTTTTTTTAATTTTTTTTTTAATACGCATATACAAGTTTTCGTTGACTTTTATTAACACAGGTTATTTATAGTTTTTTTCCAAGAAATTTTGATACTATGTGATATGTTTTAAACTAATGCTTTTTCCTTGCACATTTTAGTACATTTTGCTTGTTACTCATTATATTATGGAGTCATTTTGGTCACTTATGGAATTATTGCGCGTTGTTAGGTGATTTGACAAAAAAAAATTATGTTTTGAGGTACTCGATGAAATATTTGATCAAGTTTTTTGCGCCACCTTAATACGAGAGCACAATTGGATGACCAAAGTAACAATTTTTGAATTTTTGGACATTTTGAGATGGACTATGGCTTGACCCGCGTCCGAGGATAGCACTGAAGCATTACCGAAGACCTTGGAGGCCTCCCCTGCTAGCCACAGGCGTGGCCACACCCGTGGCTAGCATGGTTGCAAAAATCGCGTCTAAACGCTAGGCGGCGCTCGGCCGTGTCGAGGAATGCCGAAATTGGCCTCCTCTGCGGCCGGGCGCCTAGGCAGCCGAACCCCCCCTTTTTTTTTTTTTTTTTTTTTTTCAAATAACCCCCTAAAAAACAAATTAAAAACTTTATTTTAAAAAAGTAAAAAAAATCGGGCGTCTAGTGTCTTTTTCAACACTGGTGGCTAGCAGGCAGAATGTTCTGCCTTGTGGGTACGGGTCTAGGCACGCCCTTGCCTGCACCCGTGCACGTGCTTGTGCCCAACCTCTGTAACTTTTTTTAAAATTAAAAAAAAAAACACTTTGCCTTGTTTTTAAGAGAACTCTTTTCACTCCAAAAATACATATTTCATTTCCCTTTCATTCCCTAGTTAGGTTTAACTCTAGAATAGCTTAGATTAGTGTAGATTTCTTGTTCCTTTCCATTTCCAAGATCAAGAACACTTTGCAATCTTAGATTTCAAGGCTTCGATCAATGTTGCAAAAATCGCGCCTAGGCGCCCGGCCGCCGTCGCGAGGAAGGCCGAAATCGGCCTCCTCCGCGGCCGGCCGCCTAGCCGGCCGAAATGTAGAAAACCGTTTTTTTGTTTTTTTTTTTTGTTTTTTTTTTTTTGGGTTAATCGCCAAAACGACGTCGTTTTGGCGAGTAACCCAAAAAAAAAAAAAAAAAGCGATTAAAATCGCGATTAACCCAGAAACCCTCAGACAGTCAGATCTCAGCCGCACGCCTGCACACCCTCAACTCCTCCGCCACACCGCCTCAAGCAGTCGCAGCACACAGCCACACCGCCGGCCGTGCCTCCGCCTCCCGGTACGCCGTATGCCGCCAAACAGCCTTCCACTCCAGGTAAGCCGTATGCTTTTAACAATTTTAAGTTTTATTAATTATTTTAGTGTTTTAGACTTTAGTTGAATAGTTTATCAAATATAAACTTTATAATTTATATACTTATAGTCTTATAGTCTTATATATTTATATAATTATATGTATGACAGTATGAGTAAGATTGTATGAGTGTATTTGTGTATGACTGTATGTAGTTTGTATTATGTAGAAATGTAGGATTGTAGTATTGACTATTGACTATTGAGAATTGTATTAACTATTAAGTTATTGTACTATTGTAGACTTGTAGTATTTAAGTTATTAACTTATTAAGTATTATTATTTATTAATTATGAAATGGAATTGGAAAGTGATGATATTTCTCAACCACCAATTCAAACTCAAAGTGTTGGATCTTCTCAACCATCTACAACGTCAACTACAATGAAAAGAAAGTCCAATGATATAGGTTGGGACTATGGGGTACTTAATGATCCTACTAAGCCAATGGACAAGATTAAATGTTTATTGTGCAAGAAAGTAATGTCTGGTGGAGTTTATCGGATCAAAAAGCATATTGCTGGTATTTCAAAGAATGTTAGCAAATGCCCCATAGCTTCAAAAGAAGATCAAATAAAATGTAGAGATTCTCTCATTATGGCGAAGAACAAAAAGAAGAACAAGAGAGCTGAAGAACTTAATATAAGAGCGGAGGTAAACATCGGTTCGCATGAGAGTTTGAGTAATACACCTACAAATAGTATTGATGTTGATGAGTTGCAACAGTCTGAACATATGAGGCCACCTCGTCCAATTGGCCCTATGGATAAGTTTGCAAACCAAATCAATCCTGAAATTTCTTTGAGTTCAAGAAGGGGCACGGCGCAACAACGGATAATTGAGGCATTTGACAAGGAGAGGGTTAACAAAGTGAAAGAGTACATATGTAGATGGGCTTATGAAGCAGTTGTTCCATTTCATGTTATTGAGAAAGATAGAGTCAAGTTGATGATTGAAGCTGCTGGTCAATTCGGTCCGGGAGCGCAGACACCAAATAGATATGAATTGAGTGAAACATATTTGAAAAAAGAGGTTGATCGTGATAAGAGATAATATAGTGATTGATTGTGGTTAGTTTGTTAAGTTTGTTTCGTATTTATTGCTGTGATTACCTTGAGTTTA